ACTGTAAAAAAAAAAAAAAAAGAAATCCAAGTTGAAAATGGGTAAAAGACAAGAATAGACATTTCACTGAAGAGAGCATACAGATGGCAAAAAAGCACAGGAAAAGATGTTTAATATCACTAGCCACCAGGGAAATGCAAATTAAAACCACAATCAGAGGGCTTCCCTGGTGGCGCAGTGGTTGGGAGTCCGCCTGACGATGCAGGGGACACGGGTTCGTGCCCCGGACCGGGAAGATCCCGCATGCCGCGGAGCGGCTGGGCCCATGAGCCGTGGCCGCTGAGCCTGCGCATACGGAGCCTGTGCTCTGCAGCGGGAGGGTCCACAACAGTGAGAGGCCCGCGTACCGCAAAAAAAAAAAAAAAAAAAAAAAAAAAACAAGAAAGTGAGATATCACTATATGACTATCAGAATGGCTAACATAAAAAATTGTGATAGCACCAATTAACACTGATTATTTAATGATAACACCAAATAGTGATATCATCGATAGTGGTAATGATGTGAAGAAACCGCATCAATCATACATTGCTGGTAGGAAAATAAAATGGTACAGCTGCTCTGGAAACAGTTTGACCAAGTCTTCAAAAACTAAACATGTATTAGCTTTGCGCAGTGTTGTAGCCAATGAGGTTTATCCAAGGCGTGATTATTGCTGACTGAAAACTTTTCCCAATACCCCACCATAACGACTTGAAATATAGTCCACAATGGCAGTTTTTGACAGTGTCTATGGAGATTGAAAGAAAAAAACTAAACATGTATTAGCAAATGACCCAGCAATTGCAATCTTGGGTGTTTATTACAGAGAAATAAAAACTTATGTTCCGAGACTTCCCTGGTGGCGCAGTGGTTAAGAATCCGCCTGCCAATGCAGGGAACACGGGTTCGATCCTTGGTCCAGGAAGATCCCACATGCCATGGAGAAACGAGGCCCATGCACCACAACTACTGAGCCTGCGCTGTAGAGCCCGCAAGCCACAACTACTGAGCCCACGCGCAGCAACTATTAAAGCCCACGCACCTAGAGCCCGTGCTCCACAACAATAGAAGCCTCTGCTCGGCACAACTAGAGAAAGGCCGCACGCAGCAGGGGAGACCCAACGCAGCCTAAATAAATAAATAAATATTTTTAAAATAATAATTATCAATTTAAAAAAACTTACGTTCCCACAAAAAGCTGTACACTACTGTTCATAGCTTCTTGATTTGCAATGGCCAAAATCTTGAAACAAACCAGACACCTTGTAAGAGGTAAATCAACACACTTGGTCCATCCATACCATGGAATACTACACAAAAATGAAAGGTACCAAATTGTTGATCAACACAAACCTTAGATGGTCTCCAGGGAATTATGATGAGTGAAAAAAAGTCAATCCTAAAGGTTGCATACTATATGATTCCATTTGTATGTCATTCTTGAAATGGTAAAATTATAGAAGTGGAGAACAGATTAATGGGTGCTAGAGATCATTAAGGAGGGTGCAGGGGAGGGAAGTGGGTGTGGTTATAAAAGGGCATCTTTGAGGTGTTGGAACTGTCCTGTACCTTGACTGTAGTGGTGGCCACATGAATCTACAAATGTAGTAAAATTGCATAAACTAAATACACGTGCACACACACACACACACATACACAGAAAGGAGAGCCTGTAAAGCTGGTGGAATCTGAATAAAGTGAAAGGATTATGTCAATGTCAGTATCTTGGTGTTGATATTGTACTGTGGTTATACAAGATGGGAAGACAGAGTGAAGGATGTACAGGATCTCTCTGTTTTCTTTCTTACAACTGCCCATGAATTTGCAGTTTTCTCTAAGGGGAAAAAAAAAAAAAGCATAACCAATGTAAACTTCCTGAGGAAGCACCAAAATAGTTCCATTAGAAGCTAAATAATACAATTATCCATAGACTTACTCTTATCACCTCCCAAGGCATCCTTTTAGGTTAAAAAAGGGAAATTTCGTCTATCATTAGGCAAGGGATACAATATGGTTTTCTCATAATTTGTATATAAGGTTTCCCTATGAGAATTAAACTAGTAAAAATAAAGCAATTTAGGGCTTCCCTGGTGGCGCAGTGGTTGAGAGTCCGCCTGCCGATGCAGGGGACACGGGTTCGTGCCCCAGTCCGGGAAGATCCCACATGCCGCGGAGCGGCTGGGCCCGTGAGCCATGGCTGCTGAGCCTGCACGTCCGGAGCCTGTGCTCCGCAATGGGAGAGGCCACAACAGTGAGAGGCCCGTGTACCGCAAAAAAAATAAAAAATAAAAAATGAAATAAAATAAAACAATTTAGGAGAGTAGCCATTAGCCACCTTAGCTGCTTCCAAAACAAAATAAGAAAAGCAATGCATACTTAATGATAACCAGAGGGTAGAAACTTAAGAAGGTGGGCCTTCAATATATGTGTAAGAAAAAGGTATTAATTAATTTTTTGGAGCATCATCTGAAGAAAGAAACTATTATTAATACTATCAGGAAGGGAGTCTGCCCTGTTCTAGAAAAGCAGGAGCCCAGAGAGGAAAGTGTTAAGCTGTCGTGAGGCCCTGCCCTTGTCCTAACAGGTGTATTGATCTGCTTGGCAGTTAAGAGTTGGCCCGAATGCCACTTACAGAACATGTATTTATGTGCGAGGTACTTTGCCTGCCTTGTTATTAATCCTCAGCACAACTCTACAAAATAGAAGTTATCTCCATCATTAAACTAAGGCTTAAGAGATGAAATAACTTGCTAGTGAAATAACTTACTAGATCACACAGCTAGTGAGTGGCTATTGTGCTTGATGCCTTGGTCTTAGAATTATCTCATTAACTCTCTTCACTCTAACTTCCTGCCTCAAAATTTTGATTTGCCATATAGACATTCCTAAAAGGGAAGCCCATGTGAATATTTAACCTTTTGGCAGTTCTGTTTTCACTGTATATCAGTTAAGTTGACACTGTGATTTACTCACCAGCCTAGTGTGAAAATGGTTCATAGGCATGAGTTCTTCTGCAGCTGATTATTCTGGGTATATGGGAGCATTCTGTTACTGTAAAAATATAAGATTCTGAACTTGGGTTAATTTCCAAGGTACCACCACCCTGTGAGGCTTCAGTCTTTGATGCCCTTCTCCCTCTCTTAGAATTCAGTCTTCATGCGGCAAGATGGGGAAATGGTGTTGCTAATTTAAGTAAATGGCTCAGGCTTACGGAGTCAGTTACAGGCAAAGTGAAAGTTGAGAACTAGGTCCCCTAACTCTTACTCCCTTTTGGCTGTACTCATCTTGTCAGAGCACCCTATTTCAAGGGGCAGATCCAGAAAAATTGGTTTACATGCTCAGTTAACATCCCTATTTTCTCTACTCCCTCTGCATCTTGGCTACTGGTGGAATTATTTTTGTTAGCATTATCGATAGCTTTATTATGAGCTCAATTTTCTGGACATAAATAAATGAATAGACACTGAAAAGTCATATTGTATTTGTTTAAAATGTTCATCATTTCGACGTCGTATAAACTGGGCAGCCATGCACCACTGGCTCAGATAATAGCTTTTATATATTGCATAGACTATTACATATAAAGAGTTATACTCATTAGACCTCAGTATTTCCACTGCCTGGTATAGTACCTGGCACAAGTAGGTTGTCAATACCTGTGAACTGGATCAGATTGGATTAGACTGAATTAAATTGAATGAAAGTGGCTCTAATGTGTTTCGACTCCTAGATTCTGTAATTTATTTAACACCCCTACCCAAGTAGGTGTTTACACTACAGCATGTCTGTTCAAAGACACATTATTAGGTCAAGTTTTCTGTCCCCTGATCTGAAAGATCTACCTAATCAGGTAGGTCAGTTCTGGGAACTAAGACCTTCCTGAGACCTCAGCAGATTACCAGCCTGGAAGGGAAGGCTGTGTTCTCTCTCTGTTCTCAGCACTGGGAAGGGCCAGGGAGTCTCAGCACATGAAAGCAGATACTGCAGAGGTGCTCAGAAATGTGGCAGCGCTGGTTCAAACCCAGTAAGTGATTTTTTGCAGTTAATTGTAAAACCCCAGATAATGAGCAGTGATATTTCCTTAGAGGTGCCATTTAATCACTTAACCCTTCTCTTTGTCAGGTCACCTGTGGAAGTCACTAGGGCACTTTATTTTCTTGAAACAGGTTTTTTCTTTTGCCTTAAGGATTGTTGGCATCCAGAGTCTCAGATAGATTTTGTCTGATGGCTTTGGGCAAAGACGGAAAGTGATAATTAGTTGTTTCTTTCTGTTCTGTACCAATAACTTTTCACAGACACTTCTGAAGCTTCTGGTTTTCACTTCATTTTTGTGGAGAACTTTTTATTCATATGTTTTTCTTTTAAAATATAGTATACAAAATGCCTGACATCTGTATCCTTTTTGATTGTGTTGGTTGGAGAGAATTTAAAGTTATACACAATACATTGTTCTCTAGAGCATTCGTCTTTAGAGTCTTCTGAGATTGTTGCTCGGTAACATGTCATGAGGAAAGTTCAGATTTCCAAAGCATTTGTCATTTCTTCCTGCGCTGCTAATTTGTTTAGTAACCATTTGTTTCTCACACTCTTGTCTGCCAAGCTGTAGACATAGGTACATGCCAGATCCATAGATCCATAATCCATAAATGTTAATAACAGCACTAAAAGTAGGTTGGAGTATGCCTTTGATATCTAGCTTTTCTCCTGAAAGTCCTAAACCAAACTCTCTGGTCTTTTCTTAAATACACTGATGCTTGTATAATGATACACGTCTTTAGGAGAAATTTCCCATCAGTTCTCAACTAAAACTCTGGAATATTTAAACTAATGATAGAAAGCAGTCTTCCATGTTACTTCCTCAAGGGATTTCCTACCTGTGTAGGTAACAGTAATGACACTGATTTGAATCATGGATTCATAAAATACACTTTTTTAGGTTAAAGTAAACTTCCATTCCATCTTGAAAGAGTGAGATCAATTTTTGCCTTAGTTATTAATACCTGTTCATTTTATTTCAGGGGCACAGGCATGGATGGGAAGAAATGCAGCATATGGATGTTCTTACCCCTTGTATTTACCTTGTTTACTTCAGCTGGATTGTGGATAGTGTGAGTATTCTCTTATTTAAGGACTCAGGTGCAATGTAGATGAAAATGTCAAGTGTTGATAGTATGGTTGCTCCTTTGTATCTGCAGACTGCACATCCTTGGAGTCAACCAACTGCAGATCAAAATTATTCAGGAAAAAAAAATTCCAGAAAGTTCCAAAAGGCAAAACTTGAATTTGCTGCTCACTGGCAACTATTTACATAGCATTTACATTGTATTTACAACTATTTATATTTTATTAGGTATTATAAATAACTTAGAGATGAAAGTATACAGGAGGATGTGCGTAGGTTACAGTTGACCCTTGAACAATAGGAGTTGGAACTGCGAGGGCCCACTTACATGTGGATTTTTTTCAATAAATACTACAGTACTATACGGTCCATGGTTGGTTGAGTTCGAGGATATGGACCCTTGGATGTGGAGCTGACTATGGGACTTGATTATCCACAGAATCTGGTGTCCACTGCTGGTCCTGGGACCAATCCCCCACATATACCGAGGGACAACTGTTCATATTCATATGAATGTATTTGTAAATACTTTAAAATAATGTTTATTAATTCAATCATGCTAAATTCCCCATTTCTCTTCCCTTCTTGTTTCACCCAAAGTAGATAATAAGAGCAAGTAATAAATTATGCAAAGCAGACGGTGAAGAATACTGGTGATGTGGACTCATTATTTGCAAGATTTGCTAATTTGACACTAACATGCTATAAAGATTCCATTCACAGTCCCGTTCATAGTCCAGTTTTTTGGTTGTGTGACTGGGTCTGGTATGTTTATAAAATGGGTATCATTACATTAGAAGTCTTGCTTATCACAAAACATTCCCACACTTGCTTATTTCAAGTACTGTTTACTTCTAGAAAATTATTTTAGTTCCTTGCAGTTCATTAAGAAAGGTGGACACGTATTCCTGAGATATTAGAAACTTTGAATCTTAATTTTAGTTTGCCCAAAGTTGTATGGTCTTACTTCTTTGCTTCCCAGTTTCCAGATTATAATGATTGCCATTAATTTTCTTTTGAAAATTACAGAAATACTATTAATGACACTTACGGTTCAGAGGGCTAGGTGAGCTATAGGTAAAGCATTGTAGTAAAACAACATTGTCCCAGTTAGAAAAAAATGAATATGATTTAATGTGGTTAGTCCAATAAAACTGGGAAACAAATGATTCTTGGGTTTTTTTACATTTCTTTGTTTTATAAATTTTTTTGTTTTTTCTTCATAGATACTTTATAGCTGTGGAGGATGACAAAATTTTCCCATTAAACTCAGCTGAAAGGTAAAATTTATCTCTGGGTAATTCTTTGTTCATCAGTAGATTTAACAAAAACTTTGCCACTGATGAAGTTAAACTATGCACAAGTGACCGTGCTTTAACCTGAGCTTCTGGGTTTTCTTTTGTTATCCAGGAAACCTGGTGTGAAGCATGCGCCGTATATAAGGTAACTTGATAATTCTCTCCTGATCTGTTGGCTCTTAGGAAAGTTTAGGGTGTATTAGTTCTGGCTACTAGGACAAAGTAGCATAGACTGGATGGCTTATAAACATGAGAAACTTATTTCTCACATCTCTAGAGGCTGGAAGTCCAAGATCAGGGTGCCAGCATGGTCAGGTTCTGATGAGAGCCTTCTTCCAGGTTGCAGACTGCCATCCTCTCATTGTGTCCTCACATGGCAGAAAGAGGGCAAGAGAACTCTTTAGGGTCCCTTTTATAAGGGCACTAATCCCATTTACCAGGGCTCCACCCTCATGATCTAATCACCTCCCAAAGGCCCCACCTCCTAATGCCATCACATTGGGGGTTAGGATTTCAGCATATGAATTTTTAGGGGACACAGACATTCAGTCGATGGCAGAGTTATCGATTTTACTACAGTAATAATAAAACACTTCCTGTTTTTCAAGTATTGCAGGTGATGAACCTCCTGCAAGCTGTGTGTTTAGTCAAGTTATGAACATGGCAGCATTCCTAGGTAAGAAGAGCATAAAGAATGCTTTATGTGCTTTGGTATGTTTCTTTTTTATTTTAAATTCTCCCAAACCCATATCAAAAGCATGGTGGACTTAGTTGATAATTCGGTATCATATCATGTCAATATGCTGAAGAGGGCTTTTTGTTTTGAGGGTCTTTTTTTCTCATGAATCCTTTTACGTTCACCTGCTTACCTTACGTTTTCTTTTCCCTTTACCATCTTTAATCATTTCAGCCAATTCTTGACTTTATTTCTTTTGCTGCATGAAATAATATATTTCATGGGCCATAAAATCCTGCATGAGAATGTAATATTGTGCAATATGTTTGCTTTAAAAAGAATGCCTTATTTTTTCCTTCACTGGCAAGGATGAAAAAATGCGTAGGCTCTGTAATAAATATTGATGTGTGTAGATATTGTCTTTAAATCTAAAGGTCAGCCTTAACATTAGGGTGATGCTCTCCCCTGTGCCTATACACATATCAAGCTGGCAAATGGAAATGTAGGTGAAAGAAAGAAACCTTTTGTACTCATGTCTGGCCCCAATTCCCCACTTTTCCTTTAGGGACCAAGGCCCTCATTTAATATCCTGTCCCCTTTGTACTGTTCCCTGGGGATCGTGGGAACCAGCCATGCTCTCTGTCTTCCTCCAAATTGACCTTATAGCCCATTTCCTCCAGGCCAGGACTCTCGGTGTCTTTCAAAGGGTCAACCAGCTACCACCACTGGCATATTGTTGGGTCGGCCAGTGACAGCTAAATTTTTCAACAGTCGTTTTCTGGAAGTGTTTATTTTGCATAGTAAGACTTTCACTCCAAGTAAGAGAGAATGATGTTGTTATTACCGAGGGAGTATTGGCACCTGTCCCCCAGAGAGGTGCCCTGTTATTTCATCTATTTATGAACGCCCCACAAAGAAATTTCTATTCACTCTTACATGTTCCTTTTTAATGTTTGCTGTAGGAAAAGGGAAGACCTGTAGAATTCCCTGGAAAATCAAGGGAGACTGTTGGTCCAACATGCAACACAGGCAGAATCTTAGTTGGTTCAGAAGGCTGATAATGTGAGAAACATGGAGAATGTTCCCTGTGAGGCACCAGGGGAAGTGCTAGTGGGTCCAGTTTTGTCCTCACTGCCTTTAGCCTCAAAGTTGCCAGGAGCTGTAGACTCACTCTTTTTTCCTAGTCTTGACACTACTCTTCTGAAGAGCTCTAATAAACATATTCATGCTAAGGCATAAATGACCTCTAAGGAGATATTTGCATTTAATAGAACACAAAGTCCCAAGGGTGAATCTGGACTTGCAGGGTCAGGGACCCTTCCCAGCCCCTCTGCAATCACACCACATAGGCCTGCAGGTTGGTACAGACTCATATGATCATCCCCACGGAGCACAATAATAACAATAATTAATGGCAGTCATTTAATATTCCAGGCACAATGCTGAGTGCTTTGCAAATACTACCTCTTGTAATCATGATGCACAGGAGACTGCCTTTATGAGGAAGGAGACTGCCTTTATGAGGAAGCTGTCACAGGCTGTCTGTCCTCCACTGGGCTTTAAAGAAACCAATGAACATGTTGGAAACAATATATTATCCTTTATATTCTTAAGACAAATTGATATGTCCCAATAGTCTTTAGTGTAAAATCTAAAATATGCCAGTTTGCACAGATCACAAATTTATCCAGTTATAAAGCTGATGATTAACTCATTATAAAAGCATTTCCAAAAACACAGTCATGAAAACAAGTTCCCCTCTTGCAGATGACATTCGTCATCATCTGACTCTCCAGTCCTCCCCTGCTCCACCAAGAAGCAATTAAGTTTTTGCTAGCTTTTGCTCTAAGGTATTACAGCATCCAATATTTATACTTTATTATCTTTCATCATTTTTAGTGCCATCTGGTAGACACAGAACTGATTAAGATTAGTGTTCAGTGGGAGTGAACCAACAATTATTTATCTGGGAATGAAAAAGAATCAGTTTACTAATGATTCTTGCTCTAAACTGTGGTTGCTTTTGTCTCCCCAGGCCTATCCCTCTTAGACCTCAGACTGTTACTTTAGACGACATCACTGACTATAAGAAACAACATAGACCACCTGTAAATCACTGCTTGTTGGCAGCTGTATAGATCATAATTTATAACCTACAAATGAGTTGGTGTAGCAAAGATCTTATATCTTTTTGATGGACTAATCAAAGATCAAATGCTCAGTGATTTCCTTGTAGGATTAGTTATGCTTTTTGTCCTGAATCCACACTTTCATTTCTCCTGGGGGGTGGGGTGTAAAGACCTAAGACAAATTTCTTTTTTTTTTTTAGGTAAGAAGTGGATTTATTTAGAGAGAAACACACTCCACAGACAGAGTGTGGGCCATCTCAGAAGTCAAAAGGCCCCAGGTTACAGGGTGGTTAGTTTTTATGGGCTGGGTAATTTCTTTTTTTTTTTAACTTCCTAAATTTTATTTATTTGTTTATTTCTTTTTATACAGCAGGTTGTTATTAGCTATCCATTTGATACATATTAATGTATACATGTCAATCCCAATCTCCCAATTCATCCCACCACCACCACCACCCCACTTTCCCCCCTTGGTGTCCATACGTTTGTTCTCTACATCTGTGTCTCTATTTCTGCCTTGCAAACTGGTTCATCTGTACCATTTTTCCAGATTCCACATATATGCGTTAATATACAATATTTGTTTTTCCCTTTATGACTTATTTCACTCTGTATGACAGTCTCCAGATCTATCCACGTCTCTACAAATGACCCAATTTTGTTGCTTTTTATGGTTGAGTACTATTCCATTGTATACATGTACCACATCTTCTTTATCCATTCATCTGTCAATGGGCATTTAAGTTGCTTCCATGACCTGGCCATTGTAAATAGTGCTGCAATGCACATTGGGGTGCATGTGTCTTTTAGAATTATGGTTTTCTCAGGGTATATGCCCAGTAGTGGAATTGCTGGGTCATATGGTAATTCTGTCTTTAGTTTTTTAAGGAACCTCCATACTGTTCTCCATAGAGGCTGTATCCATTTACATTCCCACCAACAGTGCAAGAGGGTTCCCTTTTCTGCACACCCTCTCGAGCATCTATTGTTTGTAGATTTTCTGATGATGCCCATTCTAACTGGTGTGAAGTGATATACCTCATTGTAGTTTGGATTTGCATTTCTCTAATAATTAATGATGTTGAGCAGCTTTTCACGTGCCTTGGCCATCTGTATGTCTTCTTTGGAGACCAAGAAAAATTTCTTAAAAGGAATATTATTTTCTGCCCTGGACAGGTTGTGAGGATAAACTAATAGCTGAATGATTTTGGTCACCTAATAGCATCGTCTTTCCCTCCTTCAGCCAAAACATATTGATTGTCATGTTCTACTGCTGTCATAAATAAGAATTGTTGATGCATAAACAGTAAAACTAAACAAAATGAAAAAGAATTTGGCCAGGCACCAGTCTAGAACTGCAGTGAAGAGCTGCTGTTTTGAGTTTGAACTTTAAAAACCTGATCAGCTTCAAAATAAAAGAATTTAACAAAGAAAATAAGGAATTACTCTAATATTTATATTTTTTAACAGGCAGATAAATTAAGTAAGGGACACTTGTATAGCAAAGGACTGTTGAGAATATCAAAAACAACAAAAGGGTGGGTTTTAAAAATCTTTTCTAAAACTGTAAGTAAAATTTAAAATTTTTAAATGAAACAAAAAATATATCTATTGAGCAGAATGTTAATGTGGTAAAAATTGGTTGACATATATAAAGATGGCTTTGAAATTGCCCTACTGCCCAAGAAAACTTTTTCAATAAGGCATAATTAAATCATTACTTCGTTGTAAATGGACTTCATAACAGATAGTCTGAATCTGTCTGCATTTAAACCTGTTAATAAAACTGTTAATGGATCAGAAGCTTTATTATTTCCACAACCATAAAATTTCAACTAGACCCTATTATGGAAAGAAATTAGGCCTAGCCTCAGCTGATTAATAATGGAGTTAATAGGTTAAAAGGGCCAAGTGTGGTGTTTGGAATGCTGTTCTGGAAGTTGGGAATGTTGGGTTGATTCCTATCTTCAGGGAAGTTTCTGTTTCCTGGTTAATGTCATCGTCTGTTCTTGATGAAATGATTTACCAACCATATTACAAATGAGAAGGCTAGCAGTGCTGGAGCCAGGAGAATGGTACACGTCCAGAGTTCACTGGAGAGAAATGAGTAACACAGACAGTGGCACTGACTGTGTCCCTTTGGGTAGAGTGGCACAAACTACCTGGATGGTCAACGTGAAAAGCCATTTCGGTGTCTGCTTTGGCAGTGGGTTAGGCCTTCGGTGAGAGGTCCGGCACCATCCTAGCCCTCCAAACTGGATGACAACCAGAAAGTTCCCAGAGTCATACTCTCCACTAGTCATTTTTAAAAGAAATTAAATGTGCTGGCTCGGTAATCTGTCATTATGTGCTGACTAATATCCACACACAATTAATTGGCAAATGTCTCCCCTGGTGCCTTGTGTGGAGATTTCTGGTCTAAATCTAATGACTTCTTTATCTGAAGATCACTTTGTGTCAGGGTGCTTATGTTGAATTTCTCGTCTCCCCACTTCTTCCTCCTATTCGTATCCCCAAAAGTATTAGAAATTGTGCTTGTTTTTTCATCCTCTAGGATAGTTATTGTCAACATTAATAGACTTCTGATAATATGATAACTCCTAACTGGATCCCTCAAACCATTAGGTTGAAAAACTATTATCAAAAAAATGGTTCTGAAGAACCTAGGGGCAGGACAGGAATAAAGACACAGACGTAGAGAAGGGACTTGAGGATACGGGGAGGGGGAAGGGTCAGCTGGGATGAAGTGAGAGAGAGGCATGGACATATGTACACTGCCAAACGTAAAATAGATAGCTAGTGGGAAGCAGCCGCATGGCACAGGGAGATCAGCTCGGTGCTTTGTGACTGCCTGGAGGGGTGGGATAGGGAGGGTGGGAGGGAGGGAGACGCAAGAGGAAAGAGATATGGGAACATATGTATATGTATAACTGATTCACTTTGTTATAAAGCAGAAACTAACACACCGCTGTAAAGCAATTATACTCCAATAAAGATGTTAAAAAGCTATTATCAACTCAATTATAATCTATTAATTTGATGATGAATCATGGGCATTAGCTTTAACATAAATATACTAAAAGCTAAATCAGATCCAAACAATTTAAGATTTCATAGATTGCAGTTTATTTCTATTTTGTTTCCAAAATCCAACTGTTAACCAAGTTGTATACCACTCTTTGACCAGAGGTACTTGGAACTGAAAGTCAACTCACTGAACTTTGTAGCTTGAAACTATGAAATTCGTCATACTTGGGAAATGCAAACTTGTGAATGGGTTTCTTTGTTAACGGCTACTAATAATGGCCTGAAATCAAGGCAGACTTACAGCAAATAATTACCTACTAATTGTTGTATAAATAGGATGATTCTTGGATTCCTAATTGTGTTCCCTGCTAAACCTTAATGTCAAAATAAATTGCCTTAGGAGGTAGTAAGTGCATTTCTTCATATTCGATATAACATATTAACTGCAAGTGCTTTTTAAAAATCATTTGTAGACTGACCTCTCCCAGCTTTTTGTATAAATCTGAAAATATCCCTGCACCAAGCAATTAATAAAAGGGGATTCTTAGATTAGTGACTTGAGTATGGACTGGCCTCAAGGTTACTATTAGAAGTCAGATTTGAAATCTAAGTAACTTCCTTTTTCTCTCTGCAGATTCTCCGATGACAATTTGATTCAAAAGAGTGGGATTTTAAAATAAGTAATTAACATCATGTGAAGAATTGAGCTTTCTTAATATAATCAATATGATTTTCAGTACATACCAAATCCCCAAATCTGCTATGTTAAAGTACAGATTCCATGATTTTATTGCTGTAACTGCTCTAATTTGGGTGAGCTGTCTCTGTCCTTTGACAATGAACACCTGCAGGTAGAATCAGAAGGGAGAGGGAATAAACCAGTAATAAAGGGGTTTGTACATGTGCCTTTATCTTCCTTCCTATCCCCGGGAATGATTTCTGGCACAGGGACCAGCAGGTTTGTCTAGATTGGTAACCTTGTCTTCTTCCCCGTGTTTTCTTGCCCTATCTGTCCTAACACGGTTTTAAAGGCTGATTGAATCAGTGAATTCCCGTGCCACGGGCTGTCTCTCTGTGTCTGATCTGTTGTGTGCCAAGCCTCTGTGATGTTCTCCTAAGCCAGTCCGTCTTGTGCTGACCTTGTTTTTGAAAACTCTGAGAACACTAGTTGTTACCAGTCTTATCATCTTGCGTCACCCAAATAACATATAGCACGCTGCCTCAGTTCCTCTCTGCTTTCCCCAGGTTAGCTAGAATAAAACATCTCAGTAATCAGAAACATCGCACGGAAAATTTCTTTTAAAAACGCATCTGTCGTTTTAGAGGTTTAAAGGTGGACTGTGGCAAAAAGTTTACTTCTGCACGTTGTGGCTTTAGAACGCTGCTTCCTAGTCTGACTGTGTGATTTAACTTTTTCAATTGTAACATTTTGTTTTGTTCCCAGCTCTGGTGGTAGCTGTTCTGCGCTTCATACAACTGAAACCAAAGGTTTTAAATCCGTGGCTGAATATTAGTGGATTGGTGGCGCTCTGTCTGGCTTCCTTTGGAATGACCTTACTTGGTAATTTTCAGGTACTTCATTTGGCCTTTTTCACCTCCATCTCACACTTCACCTATGTGATGATTACAGCCACTGAGGTATAGTCACTACGTGGCCCATAGAATTCTCCATGAATCTTTAAAAAAATGCTAACAGTGGTTCCTGATATGCACAGTTTCTCCAGCAGTCAGCCCATCTGTTCTTTGAGCCTCGCCTACATAAGTCTGAATTAAACATGAGAAATTCCTCCCTATGCATTGGAAATACAGCACAGCTATTGGGAAACGGATCTACTAAAATAGGGCTTTCAAACCGCTATATACTTTTTTTCATAACAAATTGTATTCTAATGTACCTTTCTAGAAAATTAATAGGATCATTGCCTTTCTGTAATTAAACATGGAACATTCTTATTGGATGAAACCTTGCATTTTAGATTAGCAAGTTCACATGGGAGTCAGTTTGAAAACCCAGAATTTCTCTAGAACACCTGTGACTTGAATAAGGAGGTACTAACCCTCACTCCTCTTCCCAGAGATGTAGAAATCCAAGGTCACTTAAGCATAATTTCCCTTGCCAATACCCTCACACAACTCTTGACCTAAATGACTTCATTTGTAAGATAGACATGGAGACCCTGCCCAGTTACAGTAGTTTTCTGTTTTCCCTGCCTCCATTCCCTCCCCAGCATCCTCCGGCCTCTGCTGCTAGAAACTTCCTCCTTGCAGTCAAACACCAATCCTGACACTTCTCCCCCGTCTGTTGAGTGAAATCCAAATGGTGCAGGCATTCCAGACACTCAACATTCTAGTAAGTGTTTAGGAATGTTCTTACTGAAAATATGGTAGTGGATTTTCTAAGACTGCCTCTCGTCCTTGACCCTCAGTGCTGATAATTCATTAAATTAGGATAACTCATTCCCCAAGATGTCCCCTGGCACACAGTAGCAACTCAATAAGTATTTTTTTAAATCAATAAATTTATTTTTTTATTTTTATTTTTGTGGCTGCACTGGGTCTTCGTTGCTGCACGGGCTTTCTCTAGTTGAGGCGAGCAGGGGCTATTCTTTGTTGCAGTGCGCGGGCTTCTCATTGCGGTGTCGTCTCTTGTTGCGGAGCATGGGCTCTAGGCGCACGGGCTTCAGCAGTTGTGGCACGAGGGCTTAGTTGCACCGCGGCATGTGGGATCTTCCCAGACCAGGGCTTGAACCTGTGTCCCCTGCATTGGCAGATGGATTCTTAACCACTGAGCCACCAGGGAAGCCCTTAATAAGTAATTTTTACTTAATGGGCTGTCTGACAGATAGGCAGGCAGTCCCACCCATTCCTCTAACTATTCTAGATCTCATTCCGTATCAACCTAGATAATGAGAAAGCTGCATTCTTAGAACATATTGGCTAAGAGGATGAATTATCAGGAGAATATTTGAGAGCTTATCTGTTAAGCTCCAAAATGTTAGAGCACAGAGCATTTTTTTTTTTTTTTTTTTTGGAGCACAGGCTCCGGACGCGCAGGCTCAGCGGCCATGGCTCACGGGCCCAGCCGCTCCGCGGCACATGGAATCTTCCCAGACCGGGGCACAAACCCGTGTCCCCTGCATCGGCAGGCGGACTCTCAACCACTGTGCCACCAGGGAAGCCCCCCAGAGCATTTTTTATTGAGATTTCGGTGGTAGTCTTTCCTCCATTTATCCATCTGTGCTACAGGGACTGGCATGTTGTAAAATGCTCAGTAACTATCATTTCTCTCAACCAGGTCTTAGATGGAAGTTACTGAATAGACATTTTGTTTTTCACTAAAGTTCCCCAGAGAATCCCAGTGATTGGGTTGTTTGGGTGAACCACAGATATTCAAAACTGTTAATGATGATGCTATATATGAAGAACACTTTCTGGAATATCTACAGAGATTACACAGGAAACAACACATTAGTTGCCTGTGGAGAAACCAGGTGGCTAGTATATGAGATAAGAGACAGACTTTTCAATCTATATTCTTTTTACAATTTTTTAAAGTTTGGCCCATGTAACTGTATCATCTATTTTTAAAATTAGAATTAAAAAATAAATGAACAGACTATGTAGACCATGGAAAATCAATTTCCCAGAAGTAAAATTTGACTTGGGGAATCATTACTAAAAGTGTTTCAGGACTTTCCTGGTGGTCCAGTTGTTTAGACTCCACGCTTCCAATGCAGGGGGGTGTGGGTTCGGTCCCTGGTCAGGGAACTAAGATCCCACATGCTGCGCAGCCAAAAAATAAATAAATAACAATAAAATAAAATAAAATGTTTCAAAAATATGTGTTTTGAACTGTGAGGGAGGAAAATGGCTTCTTCAAAGAAGAAACAAATCCTACAGCCAAAACAATAGAAAAAAATTGTAACGGGAAAGTAATATTGATTTGATACAACCATTATTCATAGCAACGCTAAACAATAAAACACCTGAAGGCAATGGTGATTCAAAAAGATATTTTCACCATGTTTTAAAGCCATCTTTCAACAGATTTTATTTCCTGTGTTTCCTATATATGTGGGCTACTATATGTGTAGTTAAAAATGTACGCAATTAATAAAGGTGTTTTAAGCTACAGATATATTTTTCAAATCAGTGGGTAATGATTTGGGCAGTTTACATCTCTAGCCCCCAATTGAAATAACCCAGATGGGTCTCCTTTAACCTATTAACTGTATAAAAGCCTTGACCAGGAATCTTCAAACACTGTTGCCCTTTAATGGGTCTCCAGATATGGCAAAAGCTCATAAGTGCAGTTTTCTTATTATAATAGGAAAACAAAACAAAAGCCCATTAACAATGAATTGGCCACATTACATAGACTGGCCAGTTTTGTAAGAGTAAAGAACAGCTCAAGTGTTATTAGTTGTTCAGGCCAGTGAAATCTTGATCTGCTTAGAATTGGGCATCCTCAATCAGTAAATACACAGCCGGATTCTGGTCTCATTTCTTAGTCTAGAAAACAGAGTTTGGGGTTTGTGTCTGTAGAAACTTTGACATTTCTCTTTTTTTGTGTAACTCTCCTGCTTTTTTCTTTTACTTTTCTACAAAGCTTTTCTGGAAAATAAATTCAAAGAATACATTACCACTGCCTGTATGGTTCTTCCAAACAGACGTTTTGAGGTGTGGGCATACTATTCATTTCTCTTCTTCCCCTCAGAGTTGGAACCAATGGAGAATAGACACAAAGAGCCAGTGGTGATGAAGGATTCTACTCTTTCTACAACCTATCATCCCATTATTGGGACATCTCTTTACCTATTTTTTTTCTCCACGTATTCCATTGGCTTGTATGTATTTTCTAAATGGGCCTCCACAGGTCATTATCTGTTCATCCCTTAGCTCACAAATGATGAAGAAATCCATAATGTCGGAACTTCCTTGACTTTTGGATTTGGCACGTTGACCTGCTGGATCCAGGCTGCATTGACACTCAAAGTCAACATCAAGAATGAAGGACGGAAAGTTGGAATTCCACGAGTTATTCTCTCAGCATCTGTCACTCTCTGCGTGGTCCTCTGTATCCTTTGAATGTGAAAACGTTCTTTGCCAGTGAGATTAAAACACAGATAAGTTGTCCATGTAGAAGATGAGAAGATTGCCATTCTCAGCTGGTTAGGATATACTGTTGCATCAACTCAGAATATTAGACAAAAAAGAAAAATAAATAGGTATAAAAACGAAAACTTTCAGACCTATTTTTCATGCCAAAGCGGAGATCGAGAGCTAAAGATAAAACAAGCTCTGCCTTCTCAAAACTGTTTCAATCTGTAGGAATGGTGCCATGCATTCTCCTTTCGATGTAAAGTTTCCTTTTGTGAAAAACATAGAATGCATAACCAAAAGAGAATTGTGGGTTTTTTTCCTTCCATCTTGAAAAATTCTTTTCATTTTCGACTTTATTAGTGGCTCTGTTATTTCATTTAATCTGTTAACTCTAAAATGAATCTCTAGGGACAAAAATACATTTATACCTTTCAGGAAAACAAATAAGCTTTTCTGGAAAAGAAATTCAAGAACTAGATTACCACTGCATGTACTGTTGTCCTAAACAAGTAATTTTGAGGTGCTATTTATTTCCCTTCCTCCCCCGGAGTTTGAACCAATGGAGAACAGTCACACGGAGCCAGATGGGGATGAAGAAATCAGCCTTTATTCGTAGTAAACTTGGAAAGGAAAATCGTGCAGGCCTCCTATCTCACACCCTGGAATTCAATCTATCCACCCAGTAAGAAACAGAGAAATCAGGGAAAGGCAGAGGAGAGCACTACACTCAGCTGAAGCCCAAACAGATCGCAGAGGGACTGGTCTAGGGTGGAGCACAGTGACCCCACCTACTATAGCAGGGCCCAGTGGAAGTCGGCCAGTAACGACCCCACCAATCAGATCAGTCACTCAATCCTAAGTGTTCACTCCATTAGGTCCTCTGGAAACTGGAGAGGAAAGGAGTTCCTAGACGGCAAACTGTATAGCTAACACAGTTACAATCATCAATGTAATAGCCAATATTTATTGGGTACTTATAATGTGCTAGGCAGTATTCTAAGCACTTTAAATGTGTCCACCCTTTTAATCCTCACTTAACAAGTAAGAATAGTGAAAAACGAAGGTTAATTACCCAAGATCACACGTGGTATGTGTCGATTTGTTCTAAACTCAGGCTCAGTTCTTATACTGTTAACCACTATGCCATCCCTCCTTAGAGTGGCTTTAAAATACGAAAACGTTTAGCGTTCAGAGATGTTCGTTAGTGGAGTATTTGGAGCCATTTATTTCTTCTTCCCTCACAAACTGCCATTCAGTCATTTTAGCGGTTTTCTTAAGTCACATTAGATTGAGAACATTTAAGGACTTGAAATTCAAGCCAAAACACTTGCTTATTACTAGCAACCTGATAAAATATTTTATGAGTAAACGGGTCAGAACTCTGCCAGTGCAAGATTTGAAGATGTATCCCTCCCCTATAAGTTAATATTGCTTTGGCAACATTTTGAACCCTCAGTCAGAAGAGTATGTTCAGATTTTAAATCATTCTGAGTTTTGAGCTTATACCAAACAATTCTGATCCATGATATTTCCGAAGACTTGGAACCATTTCGTGGTTCCCAGGTGAATGAATCCAGGCCCAGTCAGGAGAGCGAAGTCTGGCTAAAGTAGTTATCACAGAATTTTTCACTCTTTGAAAATTTCCCAAGATCTTAAGGCTAAGTTCTGAAGGTAGAACTAATTCTAAGGGGACATTTCTGATTTTTCTAAATAACTTTATTTAGTCCTTGGCCTCTTAGCTTTTCACTATAGAACGTTATGAACCTTTCTCCTCCCCAGCTCCTACCTTCATATATACTGATGTGTGTGTGTGTGTGTGTGTGTGTGTACACATACATACACTCTGTGTATAGTCAGGCATAGATGAATCATCTGTTCTTTGGTTTTTTAATTGCCTGCTTTCATTTGGGCACAAGTTTAAATGCAACACCGGGAATGAAACCAGCCTATAGAATATTGTCTGAAAGGCAATAGTGAAAACTAGAGAAGCGGGACCACTTAGACCTTATTAGTAGCACTGCAGAGACAAACACAGCTTATGTGGAGGTACTTAGCTATTTGATACGTTCACATTGTTCCATCATCATTTGCAGTGTCTTTTTTTTTTTTTGCGGTACGCGGGCCTCTCACCGTTGTGGCCTCTCCCGTTGCAGAGCACAGACTCCAGACGCGCAGGCTCAGCGGCCATGGCTCACGGGCCCAGCCGCTCCGCAGCATGTGGGATCCTCCCGGACCGGGGCACGAACCCACGTCCCCTGCATCGGCAGGCGGACTCTCAACCACCGCGCCACCAGGGAAGCCCTGCAGTGTCTTTAAAAAATACAGCGTTATTTTTCTGGCCAACTAGTTACTTTGGAATTGTAATTCTTTAGCTAGTCTCACAGTTTATTAGGCAGCCGTAGAGTATAGCAGTCGAATGCATGGCCAGGGAGTCAGAGTGCTTGTGTTTGAATCCCAGTTCCACCAGTTAATACCCGTGTTACCCATTTGGCCTCCATTTCCCCATTTTAAGCGAACTGCTGATAACAGGATGTTGTGATGAATAAGTTAGGTTTTCCATGAAAGCACCTAGAAGCATGTCTGGCACAAAGTAAGGGCTCAATAATGTTACCTTGTATTATTTATGTAGATGATGTTCAGCTGGCTCTGTGAAGCTCTTCTGCTAGTCAGGGGGAGAGCCAGGCTCTTCCCGTAACCCGTCTCTGCCCAGAAAACAGCCCCGTCTTAATGTGGCCGATGGTGGAACTTGCCTTGACTATTTCTCCCCAGACTTCATCCTCATGGCCCAAGGCATCCACCTGTATGCAGCCAGGGTCCAGTGGGGCCTGGTCATGTGCTTCCTGTCTTACTTTGGCACCTTTGCTGTGGAGTTCCGGCATTATCGTTACGAGATTGTATGTTCCGAATACCAGGAGACTTTCCTAAGCTTCTCAGAAAGCCTGTCTGAAGCTTCTGAATATCAAACCGACCAGGTGTAACCCATCAGTTTTTCCTTGCTGGTGAGGTGGGTGTAGCAGCAGGGGAGGGGCCAAGGCACACCCACAGGACTTGACACACAACCTCATGACACATTGTAAACACAGGCACGTGCACACGCACACACTCACACACACATTCATGGCCACGTTTGCCAAACGAGCGTTTCGGGGCGAGTTATTTAACAAAAAAGCACAAGCCCTATGTGTCGAAATACATGCTGTTAACACTGAAAATATAATGCACGACAGAGCAAGAAGCTTGTGCATGATCACCTCTCTTTTCCCGTCTCTCCCAACACCCCCTGCTCTTCTTGTCCTCTTCACGTATTCCAGACATCCTGATCACCCTACCTTGGGCAGGCCAAATGTAACATGGGAATAATGCCAACTCCCAAAGTTGCCTTCAGATCCAGAGGGCTTGGAACCAGCTCATGAGGACATTCTGAATCTGGCACTAGGGCTCTTGAATGGACACAGTATCATTTGGTTGGATGGAAACTGTACAGAGATGTGACCCCGTGTAACCTGTGGATGATGTTGGATCAAGGATAGAACTTTCCCACAAAAACTCCCTTCATCATCGTTCAGTGGTTGGCTGAGCAGATTCGACAAAAGGAATACACTACGAGTAGTGAGGGGGAGGCCCACCACCATGATTTGGACTTTACTGTGACTGAGAAAATATTTCCAAATGTGAATATTTGTAGGGCCATGGTTTGCCATGGAGAGATGGGGGCAGCGAGGGTGTGGTTTCAGTTTTGCTTCCATAGTATGCTATGTTCAGTTTTTATTTTCTATTTCATAGTTTGCTTTGTTTTCTTTTGTTTTTTTTTAAGTAACTACCATGGTTCTCTTGAGGCCTCACGGTACAGAGAAGATGTAGGCCAAACGCAAGAACTGAGCTTGTTTGGGGTTCAACATGATAAAAGAAAAAAAAAAAGAAAGGTCATCTGCAGGCTTAATTTGCTGCTTTTATGTTTGAAGCTAAGAAAATGTTCACAGAAAAGCATAAAGAAATACGTGTGGAGGAAATAAAAAGAGCTCCTGCTGGACATTTGTAAAAGAGAGGAGTCTCAGAGGATCGTGTTGTAAATCCAAATCAAGGAGGAGTTTCTTAATATGTATCTATTGCTCAAATTTAGTATTTTGGGGGGCGGGGGGTTAAGGGCTTTTCATACTCAGAATTTGTAGAAGCCAATTAAAAGGTTACCCTCCCCAAAAAACAAATTGGTTCAGTTCGTCCCCTACAACACATCATGTAGTTCCCACCTGCAAAGAGTCTAGAACTCAAACTCTATTCCTGGGCTTTAGAGGATGTGCTTCATAAAAAAGGGCAGAATTCTAAATCAAAATGCATTGGAGTGGGCCAAGCTGATAGACCCTCCGTGAGTGCACTTTGTTTCAAGAAATCCCCAAACTTACTTCATAGGGGCTTGGGATTTCATGGAATATAATGTGAAAAATGTTTTTTTAATCCAACCCAAACTCTGAGCTTCTTGAGGAAGGCGTTCAATGACTTTTCATCTCTGTATTTATCCCCACCTCTTAGCACAGTGCCTGGCACATATTAGGTGCTCAACAAACATCTGTTGAATAGAATTACTGGTAATTTACAGTAGGAAAAAGGAGTATCAGAGAAAGACTCCAAGATGTGTGAGAGAATGGAAGATGACCGTTTCATACCAGACAGGAATGGAAGAAATCACGAGTAAGGGTTAGATGGGGGAGGCAGAACACCTCTAAGGGACAAGTAAAATGTGAGAAAAAGAGACAAGCAGAGAGTGTTCTCCTATTAGAAAGTCATCTTACTGTAAATAGTCCAAGGTGACATTTATTATTTTTGAATACTGCTTTTGGGGTTTTTTTTTTCATTTTTATATTTTAAAAATTTTATCAGAGAACAAGATTTATGAAGTTTTCTTTTACTCTACACAATCCAAATTAAATAGCTTTTGGTGATGCACCGTACACTTTCTTAAGAGTATATCTAATAGCGCATTTTAACAGAATCAAGCAATGACTGGCATTATTCATCAGGATCTGACCACTAAATAAAATTCTTTTGTGCAGAATTGTGATTTTTCTTTTGTCTCTTACAAGAACATTTCTTCTCTAATATTAAAGCATGTGTAAACTGACTCAGACATTATGTTGAAAACTTCAGTGTGACATTGGCAGCATATTTCTAGGGTGTTTTCCAACACTAACAACCAATTCTCTGATTCTCTGGACACCAACTGGGTGTCCTACAATTCAGTTCAATTCTGACACTACCCAAAGTTATCCTCAGACCCCACGGGTTTAAAGGTTTGGTCCCGCAGGACCTCCCTCACTTCAAATGCCGGTCGCAAGTATCATGTCCCCAGATTACCCACACTTCGGTCCAACCTGGTCATAAAATTGGAGGGTTCCCACAATTCCCTTCCCTCTGGGTTCAATAATTTCCTAGAACAGCTCGCAGAACTTGGGAAAACACTTTACTTCCATTTTCTGGTTTATTATAAAAGATATAACTTGAGAGCAGCCAAATGGAAGAGATGCATGGGGCAAGGAAGGGGAGGGATACAGGGGCACAGCATCCTCCCAGGGTTCAATGTGCTCACCAACCCAGAAGCTCTCTGAATCTCACTATTGTTGAGTTTATAGAGCTTCCTCTCCAGCCCCCTCTGCCACCCCTGCCTGGAGGTCAGTCAGGAGGTCTAGCCACTTGGTCTTTCTGGTGACCAGCTCCATCCTGAGGCCATCTAGTGGCCTCACCCTTAGTGATCTCATTAGCATAAACTCAAGTGTGATCAAAGGGGCTCATTACAAAAAACAAAAGCCATTCCTATCACTCAGAAAATCCCAAGAGCTTTAGCAGCTCTTGGCAGGAACCGGAAGACAAAGACCAAATAAATTTTTTTATTAGACCACACAGACACATAAAGATTAAGATTAGAGAACCTCCTAGGAGTTAAGGACCACAACATTCATCTAGAAGGACGAGACCAGGGAATCTGCATTTGGAGTGAGCATTCCTGGAGGAGCTAACGCAGACGACCCAGAGAACAAAATAGTAAATATACTACACTATGTTTCTGGTAGTCCAGCTAAGTCTCTTGAAGAAAAGTTGCCTTCCTGGTTAGGAGAGAAATATTTTACGAACAATGTTAACATTTTCAAGGTTCAATAGTTTTTGATTTAATGGAGAACTGACAGTGAGGTCAAGTTTTATTACCTGTGTTATTTATTGGGTTGTCTTTGCCCCTGGTATGGGAAAATGAAACTTGAGTACCCTGAAATTTGCATTCTGCTGGTTATTGTGGAGACTGGTACATCACTGTTTATTTTGGTCCTTAGGTGTTGTGTCAGGATGGATCGGGTTTTGCTATCCCAAAATAAAACTAACGAAACTAAAGTTTATTACTCATACTAGGTGTCTATCCCGGGTTATCAAAGGGGCTCTGCTCATCACTATGACTCAGACCCTGGCTGGTAGATGGTTCGTCTTAACACTGCTTCCACAGCTGCTGTCAGCCAAGGCAATGTGGGAGGCTGCTCACTGGTCTTAAAGCTGCTATGAAGTGACAAACAAAACCACATGGCCATACCCTAGAGTGGCTCTCCTGCCATGGGCTCAGAATGGGAGAAACATTTGTGAACAGCCTAGTAACTTAAGTAAGTGGACTCCTGGCCACATGTGTTTTGTCCCCCAAGTAGTGGGAAGTTGGGGAAAGAGGATTCCACATATGAAATAAGTTGATTTTCACAATCCTCAGTTCCATATCAGTTCAGATTCCCTATTAACATTCCTCAAAGTGAGGGTTCCAAGAAACAGCAAATATCCAAATCTGAAGTCCAAGGAAGGGAGGGTGGGTGAGAAAGCTGGGTTCCTCACTGGAAAAGCAAAGATCTTTCCATTAGCATAACTATTGTTTTATTTCTCCTATCTTAAAAAAAAAAAAGTCCATATTTGCTCTCTCCAGCCCCTCTCTCCCAATTCTTTCTTCTTCTTTTTTTAAAAATTAATTAATTTATTTATTATTTATTTTTTTGGTTGCATTGGGTCTTTGTTGCTGCGCATGGACTTTCTCTAGTTGCGGCGAGCGGGGGCTACTCTTCGTTGTGGTGCGCGGGCTTCTCATCACAGTGGCTTCTCTTGTTGTGGAGGATGGGCTCTAGGCGCGCGGGCTTCTCATCGCAGTGGCTTCTCTTGTTGTGGAGGATGGGCTCTAGGCGCGCGGGCTCAGTAGTTGTGGCTCGCGGGCTTAATTGCTCCGCGGCATGTGGGATCTTCCCGGACCAGGGCTCAAACTTGTATCCCCTGCATTGGCAGGCAGATTCTCAACCACTGCATCATCAGGGAAGCCCCCAATTCTTTCAAAAATTTTTAAAAAATTTTGTTGAAGTATAGCTGATTTACAATGTTGTGTTAATTTCTGCTGTACAGCAAAGTGACTCAGTTATACATGTATATTTTTTTCATATTCTTTTCCATTATGGTTTATCACAGGATATTGAATGTGTTCCTTGTGCTATACAGTAGGATCATTTCTTTCCTGAACCCACTCCAGTGTTGTTTGACCACTTCACTGGACCTGCTCTTCTGCTCAAGTTCTCCAAAGACCTTGTCATGTTATATACACAGTTCATTCTTTTCATACCTTACCTAGCAACACTTCACAACTGGATCACCTACCTGCATAAACATTTTCTTCACGTGGCTTCCAGAACACCATGCTCTTTTAGTTTTCCTCCTGCTTCTGTCCCCTCCTCAGTCTCCTTTGCTGGGCCTTCGTCTCCCTGACATCTTTGAATGTTGAAGTCCCCCATGGCTCAGGCCTTGGAACTCTTCCTTCCCATCTACACTCACTCTCTTGGTGACCTCACACAGTCTTCTAGTTTGAACAATTGCCGTATGCTGACCTCTCCCAACTTCTCCAGCCCAGACCTTTATCCTAAATGCCAGACCTGTATATACAGCTACCATTGTGACATCTCCCCTTGAAGGGCACCTAAAGTTTAACAGTCCTGATCTGATCTCTTTAAACTCACTCCTCCAGGAGTCTTCCCATCTAAGTTAAGGACAACTCATCTTTCAGTTACCAGACAGAAACCTTGAAGTAATCCTTATCTCTTCTTTCTCTCACACCCCACCCACATCTGTCAGCAAATTTGGTTTGCTCTATCTTCAGATTATAATAGAATTCGTCCACTGCTACCACCTAATCCAAGCCACTTCCATCTCTCCTGGACTTTTATAATAGCCTACATAAACTACTTTCTCCGCTTTTTCAT